TAGAATAGAATAGAATAGAATAGAATAGAATAGAATAGAATAGAATATGCAGAAATTTCATCCATTTCAAAGACCGCAAGCTCCAGCAGCCATTTTGAATTCTTTTGCTAGACCTGCAAATTCTGTTTTCCCCAATGTAAGGGAAGACTTCCCTCCTCCTTCAAACCACTTTTGCTTCTGCTAAAGGCATGCTGCTCACTTAGGGAATAATTGACATATTGCTATCAGGAAGGTGTTTGTTAGCATTTCTAAAAACGTTCAGAGAGGCATGTACATGGATGCACAAAAGTGGCCCAAACTGGCAGTCTTTTAATAAAGAACATAACTAGTGATTTGATACCAAGTTTAATCCAAATTAGGAACAAAAAACGATATTGAGAATGGATCTAGTTTCTAGTTTACACCTAATAATTCCGTTTAATACTTCCCATTCTATCTCTTATAGAAGGAAAAGTTTAAGAGAAGTAATTTATTTCCCCGCATACAAGTTAACCACACTTCTTTGAAAATCTTATTTACCTAATGATAAAGTGGATTTGTAACCTCACCCATTAGAAGAGTGAGTGAAAATTGAGTATTTATCCCTTTTCTTTGCACAGAAAGGAGGATTGAAAACTAGGGATATTATAACATGTGTGGAAACAGTTAACTGGTGGTTGAGATACTAAATTCATTTTTTAAATCTGTCTTAAACATGAACAATAAAGAAAAGAAGTTTGGACAATTAGGAAATGAGGAAGACCCTGTAATTACTATTACTCTAAAGAGCAGGTAAGGGAAGACTTCAGAAAACTCGAATGTACTATAGCTCATAAAGTGCCCCCCAGGGGCAAAAATTGCATGGAGAATATTTTCTGGAAAAATGGGAAATGCCAGAAACCAGGAGAGAAAATAACAGATTGAAAAAAACTCCCTGATTCTTTAAAAAAAATCATCTGCTGCAATTTCTTAAAAATTCAGCATCTTCGAAAGAAACAGTATCTGGCAGGTGCAAAAGTATATATAAGAGGCGGTGCTGGATAAATAAATCGTAATATTTATGGATGTGGAACTCTTCCCGTCCTTTTGTTGCTTTTGCAATAGAGATGTAAGTCCATTTTTGCATTCCAGAATCCTGAAAGCTTTAGTCAAGGACTGGAGTTGTTTGGAGGGAGGGGGATCTGCGTTTTAACTTCATGGAGCAAGGTTACACCCAAGTCTAAAAGAGTCCTTCTCAGGTAAAGCTTTTGGGGCAAAACTTCGGGAGCAGAATACCTTTGTTTTCAGCTCTTAGGTCCATAGCAGCTTCAATGTAACGAGCCACTGGAATAATTAAAAAAGAAGTGAAAATTCTGTATCCTGTAAGGTCATCTCCTTTAGATACTTTCATATGTTCTTTTATTGACCCCATAATCCCTTGCAGGATGGAGTCTGGGCAACTGAATGGAGCTGAGTGTTTACTGGCCGGGTGCCCTTCCTATTGCCAATGTGGAGTTTTATTCAGATATTTTCTCGTTGTGCCCAGAGAGAGAAATATCTGCCTCTACCTAGGGTCGAACTTATTGTGAGGCAAGAGCTCCACCTCTAGGCCACCACACCACTTTAGGTACCTTCAAACGCTAGCTAGAAACGGTGGGGTTTATCCTAATTCATTTGGAGACCCCTCCTGCTAGGGAAGAGTCATTGATGGTCTTGAATGAAGACTATCGCCCTGGAGTCCCAAAGTAACCATTCCCATTTTAAGTAGTCCTCGATTTAACAACCATTTGAAGTTAACAATGGCAGTCAAAAGGGGGACTCCTCCGACGGTCACAGCCTCCTCACCATCCTGTGATCCAAATTGGTTCCCCTGGCAACCAGCATGCGTTTCCAAAGATGGCAGGATCCTGGGAACGTGTGACCGGATCCGCCAGTTTCTGACAAGCGGAGTCAAATGGGGGAAGTTGGATTTGCTTAACCCCGCGATTCACTTAGCAACTGCAAGTGAGCCATTGGAAAACCGTGGCAGAGAAAGTTGTAATATTGGGCACGGATCACTTAACAGCCACCTTGCTTAGCGATGGAAATTCCAGCTCCAGTTGTCGCAAGTCAAGGACTACCTGTAGCTTCATACCTTGTGTCCTCTTCCCACCTTTTAGCAGTGGACAGATGGCATATTCCAACCCCATGTGATAAACCAGGGTTGAGAGAAAAGGGAGATTGCTGACTTGGGTGAGGAGAATAGAATCAATCCAGGTTTATAGACCGAGACTGTAGCAATCAGGCTGGCGTTGAAGTCGGCTAGCACTAGCACTTTGCAAGTTCACAAATGCTGAAGAAGGAATCTTAACTACCTTCAGAATTCCTGACTCTTATTTTTCTTCCTGTTTTTTTTTTTCTTCTCCCTCCTCTGTTTGAGCACTAACATCATTGTTTGTGCTTTTCTCTGGGTGGCAGTATGGATTGGACTCAGAAGGAGAGGGCAAGTGACTTTATTATCGTAAGGGGAGAGAGGTTGGGCCATTCATAAAACTGGCTTGCCTAGCGATTCCTTGACCGAGCCAACCTTGGAGAGCTCCTTTGGTAAGCTGGGTTTTAGGGTCAAGAGGGGAAGCCGTTGAAGAACGCTGTCTGGTACATGTCTGTGGAGATTCTCAGTCATCCAGGTCATAGTTGCCTCAACGGTGTCTTTTTTGGACTTCAGAAGGCAACTGGAAGAAGAAGTAATTTTGCTTCTCATCCAGAAAGCTTTATCAGTTGAACGGATGAAGCTTCTTGAATGAGAAGCGAAACAACTTCTTCCTTAAAATACAGCCCAGTTGCCTTTTGAAGACAAAAAAAAAAAAGGCACCTTTGAGACAGTGACTGGTACAGATTGAAAGGAAATGGAATGTAAAATGTATAGCAAAGAACAAGTTATAGTATGGTCGGCTACTAACCAGAGCAGTGGAAGAATGGGTGATAATGTATAGAATATCATAAAATTCCTCTGTATTTGATGTGATGCAGAGTGGGGGGGTGGGGGGCGGAATCTCCTTGGTGCTAATGTCACCATCAAATCTTAGGTTATGAATGCATTAAAACAAGATTGAATTGTGTTTAGTTCTGCAAGGCTGGCTGGGAATCCCAGCAGTCACAGAAGCAAATTTATTAATTACCAATCTCACTTTGGAAACAATTATGACGCTTCGTTCTGTTCAGATTCTAAGGCTTTTCTCATGCTTATCCTTATTGCCAGTTTTTATTTCCTGGACATGAATGGTTCCTTGATAAAAGCCATAAAGATTTATGTCTTACTTTTCAGTGAACGTTTTAAGGAATTTGCTTTTGACTCCATCCATTGCTACAAAGTTGGAGGGATGGGATTAATTTATATCCCAATAAATCAAGGCCACCACCCTCTCTCTGAATGGCATTCCTGTGTAGGAGAATGTCATCATTTAAGAATTGACGTCCTCTTAAATCTGGATTTTGAAGCATTCTGCTGATGCACCAAAATCGGCTCTGTGTGGAGAACCTGAATTATATTTGGAGAGTTCTTATGCGATTCACCTATTCTTTTGTGTTGCTTGGCCATTCCTTTGGGGAAGATGTGCTACGTTTCAAACAAAACCAGCCTTTGAATTCTTATCTCCTTTGAGACCAATTTAGATAGTGCTGACTGAGGATTCATCACCCCTTCCTGCCTGTCCACAGAAATGTGATTTTCTTTCCCCCCCATCAACCAGCCAGGTCCAGAAAGGAGAATTGACAGAGAAATCTACAGCTCCTTCTCTTGGCCACCTTTGGTGTATGTTTAGATTGAACTGCATTGCCTTTGTAGTGGACCCTTTATGACGTTGCTCGCTTTGTACTTCAGATCCTCTAGGGATCGGTCTTCAAGAGAGAAATCGCGGGACCGGGAGAAGAAAGAGAAGAGCTCATCTGAACGGCGGCACGAGAGCACCAATGGCAAATCTCGCTCCAAGAGGTCGGAGGAGAGAGAAGCCGGCGAGATCTGAATTCCCTTCTTGTACTGTAAATAGCCCGGAGAAGCATTCTACACAGCCCAAATCTCTCATTTATATTAATGGAAGACAGCACATCCTTTTGTAGTTCTGAATTTCTATCCTTTCCGCAGCTAGCAATGACAGTTCCCTGCCATTGACCAAAACTTGGTTTTTATTCAGCCTAAACAGACCCAGCAGCCAGGGTTCCACCCACATGAATACTTTAAGCAGAACTCAGCTGCTGGGAGGCAATCCTATCAGAAGGATTACAGTCTGCTTTTAAGAAAGAAAGGGGGGAAAAAGTACCCTCACCTGCTCACTTTACAGCATCACTTGCATTTCTGTTGCAAATTTAAGTTTATACCCGAATTGAAAGAACCTCAGAAATGGTGGTGCCCTTGGCCTCTCTTCTAAACCCCTTTAATTTGGGGATTTCCACCCCTGTATTTGAAACATTCAACCCTCTGTAAACAAGTCAGTAGTTTAATTGACATGCACCCTGGTTGTAATTTGGGGACAATTGCTCTCAACTGGATAGGGTTTGGTTTTGGGGTTACTGTATCTCTGTAGTCTGGTGAAGTTAACACAGCATTCTAATTTAAATGAAGGTTAACTGGATTATTTTGCTCATTGCTCTGCTCTTTGGTGTAGTTTTTGAACAGCTTGCCTATTTTTCAGCCTACTTGCTTTCTGAATTTGGTTCACATGTCCTAATTTGTCACTTAACAAAGAGAGTCATCCAAGACTCGCTGGGCAGGTGATTTCCCCCAGAAATGTACTGGATTGGTGAACAAATTGTGTAGTGCTGCACTTAGGAGCTGCACTTTGCTTGATAAATGTAAACATTGGTTGGAAAAAACCTGGGATAATGGACCATAATCTGCTATTGCTCTGCTCTGCTTGAGAGTTACAACACTTGAATTTTGACAAATGACCACCGAAAGCAGATAAAAGTTAAAAGTAGTCACCCCCACGTCTGGTGAACTGGGAGAAACTCTTGTTCCATTTCTGTATCTCCTCCCCTTCGCCCCCTTTTTGGCTTCATCCCCCCCAAAATTGCAGGGATTAAAGGGATTCTCCTAACCCTAAGGCACAATTTAGAGTTGTCTTTCCTCTTCTGCTATGGCTGCTGCTTTTTTCTGATGACACGCATGGATGATCTTCTTCATGTGTCGTATATTGATTGATTGGATAGAGGAAGCAGCCACCAGAGAGACATTTACTGTGCAGAGGGGACTCCACCTCTGGTGAAAGAATCTCCCACAGCCACAGAGATGCCATTGGGACAGATGTTTAAATATTAAAATACACCCCTCCTCCCACCTCGAAAGGTTGATGGGTCCAGGGAAAGAAAGCGGCCAGGCAAATCACATTAAATGTACAAAGCATCTCAGGATTTTTATCTTCGGTATTTTAGCGGTTTGATCCTAACAGCACTCCCCCCCCCCCAGTTTTCCCCACCCCTCATGTCCCTCCCCATGTCTTTTGAGGAGTTTTGGTCTAAGTAACAAACATGTAATTCAAGTGCTGTTGTCCTGCCAGTCTGATTCACATTAAAAGCTTACCTTTGTGGCTTGCAGTGATCTAATTTGAGGGTGGCACCGATGTTGTCTTGGAAAAACAAAAGCCCTAACCACATTAGCACAGAGTAAGAGAAATGTGCTGAAAAATGGGTCTGGGGCCATACAATGAGTGTCTTTAGCCCAGAGTTGCTCTCTCTCTGTATTTACACATTCCTGAATTGTGAACATTCGGTAGAAGGCTGGGTCAGTATCTCTGTTGTATTATAACAAGGACCAGCCATCAAAATGGGCTGTCGGTCTGCAGTACCTCACAGCTTCATAGAACATCTGTATCGGGGGTTTCCATCCTTGGTGACTTTAAGACCCCTGGACTTCAACTCCCAGAATTCCCCAGCCAGCCAACATGGCTGGCTGGGGAATTCTGGAAGTTGAAGCCCACATGTTTTAAAGTCACCAAGTTTGGACACCCCTGATCTATATAAAAGAGTCTTGAGAGTTGGAAGTAGGTTGGAAGGAGAAAGCTACCACTTTAGCTGAAAAATGTAAAAATTCCAGTTACCTGATTTTTGCCTACACATGTAACTTTATATGCTTTTTTGTTTGTTTGGAGGATGAATTAATCATTCCACTTCAATTAGATTGGCATCCTGGCATGTTAGTTTCCATTAAATTCTGTTTGAAGAGGAATCCTTTTGTTTGTATTGTTGCTCATCATCGTGGGCCTTGCCCAGGTCTGCTAACTCCATGCTGGTAGCTCTTGATATTTTGCCCCAGTGATCTTATGGGTCCATCCTACATATTTACTATAAGGCTCCTGAAAATAACCAGTGCTCCGAATTGATGATGTCATGGGCTATAATCCTCTTGTTTAGTGCAAGAACCTGTATTCAACATTCCAGGCAGGATTGCTTCCTCCTTTTCCTTCCCTTCCAATTCTTTTATCTTCCTTTCCCTTCCCTTCTCTTTTTTCTTTTCTTTTCTTTGAGAAGGGGACCCAACCCGACCCTTGCTTTGGAAGTAGCTCATTATTGGTTTCACTCCCACTCTTTATAGAGATGATACAAACATGGTAGCTTTTGTTGTTGGAAAACCCTTGTATTTTTGATAACTTTATCCAGGATTGCTTTTGTTTGGCTTATATTTTCAGTTTCCCCCCATAATCAGTTTGGTTGGTTGGAGCAGTAGAGAAGAAGAAGAGAAAGAGGTACTTTATTAAAAGAAGAAGAAGAAGTAAGGTATAGAGGGGATCCAGGCAGTTCATGAACATTTCTAAAGGCCTGGCAAGGATTGCGTATGAACATCTTTTCTTTTTTTTTAAATCGTATAAATTCCAGCATTGAGGATTTGCAGTTATGGAAACAGCACACGTCTGGAGCTCAAATGAGTTTATAATCTTTTAAGCTCAGCTTTTTACATTCAGCTACTGTGCATTTTATTCGTATTCTGGCCAACTGTGTATAGCCAATAGCAGATGTTCTATCAGTAGTGCCCGTAAGGGAAGACAGATAAGATCTAGAATTGATCCTGTTTCTTAACAGCCTGACTGACGGAGTAGTCGGAGGTGGGCTTTCAACCTTCCAGCTGTATTTTGGGTTCATGTGTTACCAATTCTCTGCTATGTAACTGATTCCCTAACAAGTCTGAGGAGTGATTAAAACCTTGTTGGGACCGCCATGATGATTTGTCCATTCATGCTACCACTGCTTTGTTGGATCTTAATTCACACTTGTAGGACTGCTTGGAAGCTGCTCTCCTTCCCTTCTGACCCTCTGCCCAGGACAGGTTCAGGAGATGGGTTGAGGTCATTCTACAAAGGGAAATGAGTCACATTCCTTCTAAGTGTCAAACCAAAGTATCAAACCTTCCACTCACTGCAGCAACAAAAATTGCGCTCTGGCGTTCCAGCAGGTGGCATTCAATCCTCTATAATATCTACCAAGTGCAAAGTGGCACTCTCAGTCTTAACATGCCTTATCATAGCCCTATATATGGCCTGCTGTGTCTTATTACATAATAAATATATTAGAAAAGGTATTAACGTAAGATTGTTCTGATCAGCCCAGATACGGAGACAGATAACATGTTACCTTCACCCTAGTATTGGCTTCTCAATAGTTTCTTGGATAGACAGACCATGGTTGGCTGGAGTCAACCTGACAAGCCAAGCTAATTGTGACGAGTATCAAATGTCCCGTTCTATTTATCGCAAACAGCTAAAATCTGTAGAATTTAGTTTATTCATGGCCTTATTCATACAGTCACTGGGAGGGGGGAATAGCGTGTGTGTGTGTGTGTGTGTGTCCTTAATTGGCTAAATAAAAATCTCATTTCTTCAGAAAAGGTTGGATAAGAAGCTACTTGAATAATTCTTACCAAGGCAGATATAATTGATGGAATAAATACATGTATAACCTCCACTTCTCAGTATAAATAAGTCTTGGGTGGTTTATGAAACAAGATGATGAAGCAAAAATGGAAACATAAGCCACAAACCTATAAACTTCACCATAGTTGTAAATGGGCCCATGTTCAGTTGTAAAATGAACCAGGACTCCTAAAAACAGATTTGGGTGGGGTGGGTTTACATTGCTACCTGATACATCCCTGAAAAATGCATTAAAACAAGCATGCAGGATTCATACATGTCCATCAATTCATAAATGGCCTCGTAGGAAAATAGCACACGAATCCTCAAGCTATTTTAGCACCTATTCTGAGAAATTTCTATGCAGTGAGTGGAAGGTAGACCTCATACAGATTCAAAATGGGACTCAACAGATTAGTAGCTGCGTTAAAACAAAGCTTGCCTCAGTTTAAAACTCTTAAATTTTAACTTGACGTTTTGTCACTTGAGGATAATCCCTCGTATCCTTGTAGTGTTATGGGTGAAAACTTCCTATTTTGTTTGAATAAAATAATGTAACGCCTCTTCAACTATCTTGTAAAAGGCTCTTATGCTGTAATTAAATAATTGGGTATTTCTCTGCTTACCCTTGGAATTAGATTTTCCAGTCTGCATATTGAATAGTGAATTAGTTGATGCTTCTTTTGAGTCCCGAAGCCAGAAGATTTTAATTTGAACTGCCATTCTTTCATTGACTGGATTCAGACATCTGGCTGAGCCAAACTCTGCCTCATTTGGCTTTGATTTCATGTAGTACATGAGCACTGTCCCTGTGGTTGTGTAAACCATGGTTTATATAGCATGGCATATCATGTGAGCCCAGCAAACTAGTCTGTTCAATAGCGCAGCCTTTTTCAAAATGAGATTTTGAACCTCCAAGAGGATGGACGGAGTCCTTTCTGAACAAGCCTACCAGTTTGATGGAAAAATCTGCAGAATGTGAAGCATTGCAGTGGTTCCAGAAGTCTACAAAGCCTTGAATATACTTTTTTTTCTTTAAAGAAAAAAAAAAGTTCCTGCACATTTTAACTCCGCTGTTTATTGCCAACTATAGGGAGCAGTGCTTATCTCTATTTCAAGGCCATTGAGCTAGCACTGTCTCTGAGGACATTTTTGTGATCATGTGACCAGGATAACATCACAAAGCGCCGTTACCTTCCCACTAAAGTGGTACCTATTTATCTACTTACATTTGCATGCTTTGGAATTGCTAGGTTGAAAAGAGCTGAGATAAGGACTGGAGCTCACCCCGTCACGCGGCACTTGGGTCTCAAACTTGGGTTGCTGGCTTTCCAGTCTTAATCACTGAGCCACTGCAAACACACTCCAACCCCCCAAAAAGGCAAACTAAACCCTTTTATATTTGATTCGGTTCAAAGCAAAAGTTACACTCCACCACTTTGTTCCAGAATTAGAGGGTAACGAACACAACGCGCTTTTGCAAGCAGCATTTTAAGAACATCTTCATTGAGTTGAGGCAAATGCTTTCTGAACAGAACCCAGATTTTCTGTTATGCAAACATTAACCAGCTCCTCCTCCCCGTTAGAAACGCAGCCTTATGTTTTATTTACAGCACTTTTCTGCTGAAGTGGTTCTGTGACACGCAAGGTTTTATTTTATTGGACACCTAGTTTGAAATTTAATAA